AGTTCGTGGCGTTCGCTAACGTTTTTTGATCAGGCGGTTTCATGCTCATTCCTGTTTTGGTTGATATTTCGAGTAGTTAAATAGAAATCAGTGACCGCAGTGATTAATCAACGGAGGGCAATATGCTAATCTCTTCTTTGCTCCGGCTATGCATACAATGATGATATTTGGATGAACGGTAGGGGCATGTTTATTTGATCCGCACGTCATTGCCTCGACCATGTCTTGTTCCCATCACTTATTAAAAAACAAATCACAATAAAGTTGGAGAAGAGCGGTACTACTAGAGTATTTGAGTATCGACATATTCGTTTCCAAACTAATGCAAATACCTGGTCGATGAGAGAGAACGTATCGTATAGAAAAGTGGTTTACACCTGGAAGTTGTCATGCAGACTGATAAAAAGTGGAATACAATAGACTGAATATTGAAAAGCCTCCTGCATGGTTGCCAGTCCAGCAAGTCTTATGTCTTTCCTCTCTTCGCTTATGCTGATCATCTTCGCTAAAATGCGACTTGGTTTGGTTTCCTTATGTGACTTTGTGACTGCAGATATTTTCTATTGATGTGACTCCTCACATTTTCATTCGAATTTCTTAAGGACACTGTTACTGTGGTCCACCTATACTCAGTAATGCATTCGCCCGTTTCAGTACGAAGAGGGTTTTCATTCAAAATTATATCATATAAGGATGGAATTGTGGATGTTTTAATCTATGTACTTCTTCTAAGGCCTTTTCTCCTTCATTTGTTTTGCTTTTCTCGATCAGATGGCATTTGGGTTTTTTCTAAATGAACGGTTGTTTTCATTTCGAGGAACTCGATAGCGCGGTGCGCGATGACCGCGGTGTGACAAATCACCCGACCGGCGGCTCACAGGCGGCGTTCTGCGCCACCATCCGTTTGGCTGTCATCTCATTGGTATTGTCGTGAATTATTTCGTGGAAGAAAATCGTCTGGAGATCCGCTTTCTTTCTACAAACGCTGCCGTTCAGATGTGCTCGTAGCGATCAAATCCTCTGCCCGCCTCTACACACGACGGTGGTCGCGACGACGTGGTGATTATGATGACGAAAAGTAAGGTCAAAATACTGTTAGCGCTTTTCATTGCTGGCGGTGTGTTGCATCTCGTCGTCGATAAGGTGAGTACGGGTGAAAAGATTGTTTATTTGATTTTTGTTAAATCCTTTATTTCACTTCTATTTTTGAATACTTATGCTTACATCCATTCAATTGAATTTTCACCAATATTGAACTAGTTTACGTTGTTTACACTTAAACTTTGGCACTTTTCGATCTTCATATTCATCGAAACAAATGGAGAAATCATTTGTGTGACTGAAGAATAGATCATTTCTTGCTACAATATTACCAAAAAAATGGTCTCTCTCTGCAAAATCTTCACTCTTCCTTTCCCGTTCCTTCTCATACAGTACTGTTTTTACCATAACCACCGTCTCGAACCGTCAGTACTACTGAGAGGGATTGAATAAAGTTAGCTGGTCTAACGGTACAGGGCTACTACATTTGCTTCCATGATATATGCTTTTTTCGCACATCTTCTCACTTCTTTCTCCCTTATTCGACCACGTTCCCCTCTTTTTGCAGGGTCAGTTGATTTACAACAATTTCGATCGTATCAGCACTTATGTGGACAACGATCCGTTAGAATATGTACTAGCAAATACGGCTACTCATCTCGATGATGAGGAAAACCACTCTACGTTGCCGTACTTGTTCAGCGACGCTTCCACCGGCACTCGCCTCCCGCATGTAGACAAAATATTGATTGGAAACGATACTGATGGTGGTGAGTTGTGTTTATGACATGGTAGTTTTTCCTCTTCTTGTGTATGATGGATCAGTGGCCATTATGCTGTTGATATTTCGGGCCCTATCCTTTCAGCGCTTCGTATATATTATGCCGCGGCACTGCTTATCTGCTGATATAATCGGTTATGAATGGCGTTCCTCGGTATTTTGACAAACATATTTTGAAAATATTTCGTAATCTATGATTTGCACTCAATCGCCAGATTTATGTGTATGACTCGCCAAACAGCCCTATTTTCGATTAAGCATAGACTAGACTGTAACATTAAGTTCAAGCAACATATTAGGTTCTCATGGTTTGGAAAACTAATGCAGTCGTAAGTACTTTTGTGGTGATAGCGAACAACTTGTCTGTATTTGTCGGGGGATAATAGTTGCTTTTGCTGTTTTTGACTTGGCATGTGGAACATTGTTAACAGGCTGGCTTGGCAGCGAAACGTTACGTATGGATAGGTAGTAAATTTTTGGCAAAAAACGAATTGAAACAAGTGAAGCTCGTGAAAAAATGGAAAAATTGGAAAATGGAAAAATTGGAACATGAACATGTCGGAAAATTGGAAAAACATGTGGAAAAATTATCGGTCAGAACACACAACTGTCCTCGACAAAGCTGCGACTATAAAAATACAGCGTTCTTCATCGGAAATGCATTTATCACATATCATCGTAGCTCATTGCATGGTACCACAATTACGGTAGCTGCTTCATTGCACTGTTTACCTACAAAGTTTCTGTTTGCAGAAGGTTTCTCAAATATCACGTATCCGTTGACATTTCAACCACTGGAGCTGGAATCGTGTCCTTTGGCGCCACCACGTCTTGTTGGACCCATTAGAGTATGGATGGATGCGCCAACATTCTCTTCACTTGAAAAACTCTATCCACACCTAGAACGTGGTGGCCATGGACAACCAAAGGAGTGCAGATCGCGACATAGGGTAAGTGTCAGCAGGAATTCTATTTCTGTACAACACTTTTTTCTTCCCAACCACTTTTTAGCCAAATATGTAATTACAAATGCTCAGGTGGCGGTTATTGTACCGTATCGTGACCGCGAGTCTCATCTACGCATAATGCTCCATAATCTGCATTCGTTTCTCACAAAACAACAACTCGACTACGCGATTATTGTTGTCGAGCAAATTGCCAACCAGACTTTTAATCGGGCAAAAGTACGTGTACTTTGCGGCTTTGTACCGTGTGTTTATCTCTGGTTCAATCCTTTCTTTTTTAGCTAATGAATGTTGGGTTTGCCGAGGGCATGAAACTCTACCCATGGCAGTGCTTCATTTTTCACGATGTGGATCTTCTACCTGAGGATGATCGAAACTTATACTCCTGTCCAACGATTCCCCGACATATGAGTGTGGCTGTGGATAAATTCAATTATCGGTGAGAATTTGGTCATACTTAAAGGATAAAGGATAAAGCATTTGCCGTTGATCAATCCCTTTTTGGGATGCGGCACGCATTCTACTTCCATTTGTACATTCGTAGTGGCGTTTGAATGCGATGTGGCCTATACAATGACTTGCGGGGCCAGCCGATGTGTGTTTTTATCCTCCCAGACAAGTCTGGTACCAATTAACCGACCCCGGAGGGATGGAAGGCTTGGTTGGCCCGGGCGACTCACGACCCAGGATTTGATCCCCGGACCGCTCGCGTGGTAAGCGTGCCACTTGCCACTACACCACTTCCGCCCCAACATATTTAAGGTTTTATAACGAAAACAGTCACAGAATATTTCACATTCCAGGCTTCCGTATACTTCAATATTTGGAGGTATTAGTGCAATGACTGTCGAGCAATTACAATCCATAAACGGTTTCTCAAATCGATATTGGGGATGGGGAGGAGAGGACGATGATCTTGCTGAAAGGTTCGCTATTAATGATGTTATATTTTATACATGGAGGTCTTAATTTCAATTCCCTCCTCAACTCCCCGATCTGCCGACGTGTGACCTTGCGGTGCAATGCTCAATATTCTATATAGTTTTTCGGTGGGAGGGCAACAAGCGTTCCGTTGAATTTTTAATAAGAGAGGACGCTGTCTGAGTTGTTGTTGGCTTTTGGTCAATGGTAGCTAAGTGGTCGCAACACACACAAATAAATAATTAAAAGCTCTGATCTTTGAAGAGAGGAAGGGAGTCTATAGGAGCTGGTTTATAGAAAAAAAGAGGTGAATTCATGACTTTTGAATATTGCTTTACTTCTTCCTGTATTATGAATGAATTGTTCATGTTTAGAGTCTCTACAGTCGGCTATAAAATAGCACGTTATCCAGCAGAGATTGCGCGCTACAAAATGATTAAGCATGTTCACGAGGAAAAAAGTAATCCTGTGAATAGGTGAGACTCACTACTTTGGTTTTAGTTGTTAGTTTTTTTTTGATTCTTGTTCCCATCAATATTCATCAACTGCTACAGACACGATTTCTTTAGTTGTCGATACAAGTTGATGGCTCGAACGAAAAAGGATTGGAGAAGTGACGGTCTCAACTCGCTCAAATACAGGGTAGTGAAAGTTGAACTCTTGCCACTGTATACACGTATTTTGGTTGATTTGTTAGAAAATAATGAAAGTTCAGCGATTCGGAGAGCTTTCAAATGTTAGGTATTGATTTAGTACACCAATATTGCCTCCATACTTTTCTCAGGTTATTGTGTTATAATAGGTATCTACCATAAGTTGTTAAGACAATGTCAACGTGTTAGTAGGAGAAGTCCGAAAGGTTTCATCTGCTTTCACACGCCCCGTATATATGCCATCTCTGTTTCCTGCAGAGGCCTGCCTTAATTGCCGACTTATTAATACATCAGTCATGACATCAGGTCGCATCAAGAGCACCAGAACGCACGCGTAATATCGATTTGCTCTAGGCTGTCGCCATGGCTGCTCATGAGTCTGCAATTACATAGGCTTCGAGGAGACAGAGCACAGGTGCGATATAGGGTGGATTTCAAAATGTCGTTCAGAATTTTCCAGCTCAAGGGGCTTAGTGCGTCTCTTTGTGAATAAAGGAACGGCGGCAGGGAGAGGATCTCTGTGGTGCGTCATTTGACCCCAAGAGAAGGTGCCGGTCAAGCGTGAGGGTAGCAACTGCACTCAAAACTGGGTCACGCATATGACATTTCTAAGCTAGTTGTTTCACAGAAGTCTGATGTGGTATCTTCACGTCAGAGCGCAAATAGTTGACTTGCGCACGACACCACCCACACGGCCGATGTCGCCTTGCAGCACCATGTCCTGGCCCAAAATCACCAGCGCCCAATCAGAAGCACTCTTGTATCTCCACGCATGGGCATCGTTAGGATTTCCGAGCGGCCATCTTTAACATCTGAGTCAAAATTCAAAAAGGGGAGTTGATTTGAGTTATCTACAAGTTACTTCGTAATTTATTGAGTGTATTTGAAATTAGGAATTATTCAATCAAAGAGTCCTAAGAGAGACTTATTATTGCTGGATCATCTAAGTGTTAACTCTTCTCAACATTAAATTGGTCTCTAGAGACTTTTCGAAAACGTCAACGTTCTTGAACGATGCTTTGTAATTATGGGTTATCTTCACTTCAGGCTCGCAACTTTCACTTAATAGAGGGATGTAAGATAAAAGCTTAAAGGAATCTTCCACGGACCATGGACCAGTGGGCGGGACCGGAAGTTTTTGTGACGAAATGCATGGTAGGTACGGATCCACGTGTCGAACGCACGAACGTGAACAGGATTCACTTCAAACCTTCCCATGAACGTGGATCCGTACCTACCATGCATTTCGTCGCAAAACCACTTCCGGTCCCGCCCACTGGTCCATGGTCCGTGGAAGATTCCTTTAACGAACAGAATGAAAGTTCCTTCTTCTTGCAGGAAATAATGAAACGAGATGCTTTCGAGTATGCATTTTTTAGTGGAGTTCAGTAGTAGTTAGTAGTAATAGTAGATCGTAGTAGCTTCTCAGATGCTTCGCAAGTGATTTACCACTTCACTCCTATAAAGGTAAACCTTGCCGCTTGTTGATTTCAGCTGCAACAACATTCAATTACAGCAGGGCGTGAATCATTCGGGTGTGGTTATGGTGATGTGGTGTGTCTTCCTTCCCCAGAGGGATGCGTCCCCTTCTGATTCAATCCTCCCCAGCCTGGGGGAGACAAAAAAGGGTTGCGTCATAGGACCTAGCATACCTCTGTGTTTCTACCTGCCAGACAGTTAGAGCAGCGCGACTACCCTCCACTGATGAAGCACTCTTTTCCCTGAGGGGTCGCGCTGCTCTAACTGTCTGGCAGATAGAAACACAGAGGCATGACGGTCCTACGACGCATTGAATACGGCCCCATGACTATAGAACGTTTCAACTTTCCCATTTCGTGGTAACGACGCCTTCTCCACGCGCAACATTAGCGTCGTTCCTGCGCTGCGGCTAGGTCTAGAAATTGCTCGCTTCCGCACAATATACAGCGAAGGCGTGTGAACAAATGAAATATTCCAGATTCTCAGAGTATATAGTAATTTCATCTACAACAGAAAACCGGTGTTTTTTTCATTTCCAGGTGCTACTTAGAAATTTTTTATTGTTGAGCTAGTCTTTTAGTTTGATCGCGTCAGCAGACTCGTCTCTTAATGTGTATTCCATTTCCCGATAAGAAAGAAAGGGAGACGAGCCTGTTTACGAGTGAACCGTATATATAACATGCTTCGGGTTTCTAGCCTTTCTTGCTGATTACAACTTATCTGTGATTAAGACTGATTGTATCTATATCATCTGCATCTCAAACGAGATAAAGTATTCATATTTATGTACAAAACAAGTGTACATGGAAAAGCTTGCATATATATCTATTATGTTAAAATCTATCTGAAGACCAGAATTAAAACACGTAGGCCACTACTAATTTCGAACGAAAATGGGCTATATTGGGAGGGGGAGAAGGTGCAATGCGACCTATATATCGAGACGAGACTGCAGATTCGGCGTTAAACTGACCTGCTTTTTCTCTCATAACGATATGCGATCAATGAGTAACTAGGGAAATTGTGTTTGAAGGTGAGTGACACGTAAAAGATTGCCATGGGAACAAAATCAATGAAGATGGAGGCTACCCGAAATAGACTAGCTTGTCACACATTCTGGACGTTCAGGACTTCTTCCCATCTGAAAATATGTCAATTGTTGAACTAGAAACTTAAAAATACTCAACGAATAGCGAATGTTTTCTAATGCCAACAAACCATTCGAGATCCAATGAATCGTAGAAATATGTCCCGTTCGTCAGCAGAACGACGATTACGCTGACCGAAATGTGACCATGGTTCCGCTATTCGCCTTTCACACTAAAATAATCAAAAGAATCAACTTCAGTGGCCTTTTGAAGATTTCCTCCCATCTGTGTTACTTCATGCAGAATAAAAATAGGGCGAACAAAATAGAATAGTCGAGAATTGCGAGGGTATGCTTGCTGAGGCACATTTGTATGACCTTTTGTGTATCAAGATATACAGGGGTGGCCAAAAAAAAGACACTTAGCCCATGGCGCACATCATCGAACTTTTCGTCGCACAGGGAGCCGATGTTAATGAAAGTTTTACGGCGAATATTCCTTAGGTGTTCCCCCGTAAACAGAAGCAGGCCCTCCTTCACTGCCCCCGCCGTCTTCAGAATATGACGTCATCTGCCGTCGAGCTCAACGAGGCTTACCGTAATCGCTCCGGCCTGAAGCTGCTACATAATTTCTTCAATGGACTGGTGAATAGCTTCCAGAGACACTAGCTGTGACTATGCAAAACCGCTTTTGACCAGCGTTTCAGAGACGTCGTAATGGTCTATGGTACCTCGACGACCTCGTTGAGCTCGTACCGTGACCATGTTTCCGTGGGAAAATCTTCTGATGTCGTCGGTGTAGAAGGCTGTTGTGTAGCTTGTTGATAGATTATAATGTGCTCTTCAATATTCAGTTGGGGTCATTTGGTTTGGTTTCGCAACGCGTAAATAATTCCGTTTTGAATGTGGAGTGAAGTGTCTCTTTTTTTGGCCACCCCTGTATTGTAATCCACTATATCCATGTGATATCACCCATAACGCACGGGACAGTCACTAGCGCATTAATAATTGAAATCCGCAAGCTCTTGTTGATGGAATGAAATGTAAGATCAGCATAAGTCTGTAAACTAAGATGCGCTACACTTCATTTTTTTCTGCTTACTAGGGAAGGATGAAGGGTCGAAGTGGCCATATGAAATGAGACAAGTATCATGGTATGTGGTTTCGGACGCTGATCTCGAATCTTCTTCCCAAATCTGCCAAACGATTCGCTGAACGGAGTTACGGAAGTTTTTTTGTTCCCTTACACAGTTTAACCCGTAACGGACGGCCAGTGTATTTGTTGCGTGCACCACATAGTGGCGCACGCCGCCACACAGGGTAGGGTTTATGTGGGTGCGTGACGATTCAATCGTGGCAGTGGCTAGGTCGCCGCGCCAGCCGCCGCAGCCCGCGATATCGCGGCGAATTTGCAAAGAACTCAGCATCCAAACATTGGGGAATGTAAGATTAGATGAAGTTTCAGTCATGAAACATGGAATAGGAATCACCTTAACCCCTTGAAATGCAGTTTCTTTTTCCCTTGCCATTATTACATACTTATCCTATCATGCTTATGTTAGAGCCTTCCTCACCGTTACTCTGTGTCTTGATACGTGATATTCTTTCTGATTGAACCAGATTATCACTCTCTGATAGAAATTCAGGCGGCTGATTAATAAAGTCAATTTGAAAGGACCACCTTTACATGGTACAACCTTTGTACGGTGAGGCTTACAGGCAAAAGTCGGGCTAAATAAGGGGGTTTATGTTGAGATCGAAAAACAAAAACAAAAACAGTTTTAATTTTACAAATAGGAAAGTTTAATCACATATAAAGACACTAATGTTATTTATTATGTAAATTAAGACAAAGTGTATGTAAAATTTATTGTAGGTTTGTCAAAAATCCAGTCGTCCAGGTCCTGGGAAGATATGTTATTCCACATTGCTGAGAGTATATACGGGTGTATTAAGATTGCTAGAAACCTTCTAAAAACAAAAGAAATGGTCGTGCGCC